ATGCTTCATCTTCATCCACAAGCCGCCCACGTACATCCGCTACTCGGACATCACCGTGGTCGAATTCGCGCGCGTGTCGAGCGAGAAGCAGGGCGACATCCAGGGCGGCAGCCGCACATTTGATTTGGTCGTCTACACCAAGGGTGGCAACGACGTCCAATTCACCGGCATGCAGAGGTACCTTGGCGGCCACGCGTGCCTGCCTGCAACTGGCCCTCGTCAGCGTAGTTGTGCTCTTTTCAGTTCCGCCCACACGCTTACATAATCCACGCTCTTCTTCTTCGCACAGAACTGAATTCAAGGCGCTGGTGAACTTCATTCAATCGAAGGGCATCAAGATCAAGAGGATCTCTCACATGGAGGCTGGCGCGGACACTTCCGGTGCGGAAGCCGACCTGGTGGCCTCCTCCGGTGCCGTCGACGACGGCAGCAGTTCCGAGGACGACGACTTCATCGCCAAGGACGAAATGGAGCCCGATGAAGAGTTTGACGAGGTGCGCTCTCCATCCTCTCTCTCTCTCTCTGTGTGTGTGTGTGTGTGGAGCTGATGTGAAGTGGTCGGTTGTCGACCGTGCAGGGAGATGCTGAGGCGCTCGAGGCGGATGAGGTCGACGAGGTGGACGACACCTCGGGCCGAGGCAAGAGGAAGCGGGAGGAGGCCGAAGCCAAGCCCAAGCCCAAGGGCGAGAGGGAGACGCAGACCAAAAAGGGCAGGCTCCGACATGGACGAATGAGTGATTGAGTGATTAATTGATCGATTGTTTTTGTTCACAAACCCTCACCCTCTCTCAGCATTTACAAATGAAGGAGCGTGATCTCCTTCTATGCTCAGTGCATGCCCCACCATCATCTTTGTTGCCACGTAACGTCGTTTTTAGTTTTTTCTCTGCCAATGGTAGGGTGGGCCGCCTCTTCGCTGAACGAATAAACAGCGTAAAACGCACAGAAAACAAAAAGAACACACAAAGCAAGATGGAGGGACCAACAGCAGGACGAGGGTCGGCGGGGCGGCATAGGGTGGTGGAAGGCGAGAGCAATGTGAGTTGTGGGCCGCTCTTTGCTGGAGGGGTGGACGACGCCGCGGTGTGGAGCGAGGCGCCCTTCTTCCTGGCCGGCCACACCACCCTCTACTCCGCCGCGTCAGGGTCGCTCTTCCTCTTTGGAGGCTATGACGGCAGGTACCTATTTTGTTTTTATTCATTTTTATTATCCTTAAAACAAACAATTTTTATTCTTTTAAATGAAAATAATAAAAGAATAATATGCAGCAAGCGAACGAACGACCTGTACGTGCTTCGGAACGCCAAGTCGCTGGCCGCTGAAGGAGCCGAGAGCGCCGAGCTGGTCTGGGAAAAAGGTGCGGAGCGGCTACATGGGCTGGCTTGCTGATGGCGTAGCACTGACCGCGGAGAGTTGCACACGTGACACAGCGACACTGGAGGGCGTGCGGGACAGGGCGGGGCATGGGTTCTTCATGAAGGACGAAAAGCTGTACATTCACGCGGGCTACGACAGCCAGCACAACGTGCTACATGACCTCGTGGAGGTTGACGTTTCATCTGGTACCTCCCGCAACCACGCACGCGCACACACGCACGCACAACCTCACCATTGCTCGCCATGGCAATCAGATGGGTTCTCTACGCGGACGATGGAGTACAAGTCGGTGCTACCCAACCTGGAGCGGCGATGGCATTGCAACTTCCTTCACGACGACCGTTACTTCGTGCACGGAGGTACGCCCTCCCTTTGCCACTCCCCGGGGTCCTACGCCCTTTACTCAGACCGATCTGCTGTCCACTGCCATCATCACAGGATGGAACGACAGCGGCGGCCTGGCCGATTTGATCTACCTCGACCTCAGTACGTTCAAAGCGAGAGTCATCATGTTCTGTCGGTTGAAGTATTGACAACGTTGGGCATGTTTCTTCAGATACGCAAAAATGGGCCGCGCCCAAGTTCAAGGGGACGGTGCCGTCCTTCCGCCGATGGCACACGATGACGCAACTGTCCAACACCAACGGCCGCTACTTCCTCTTTGGCGGTTACAATGGCGGCAAGATGCCCCTTGGCGACGCCTTTCTTCTCAACATTGGTACCCCTGACGCACACGTAGTCTACCTCGTGTATGTGTTTGAAAGCGAGTGTGCCTCACAACCGCACACGCGCACACGCACCACATCAGACACACAGACATGGTCGCAGCCGCGATTCAAGGGCAAGGTGCCCGGCCCAAGGTGCCGACACACGATGACGGCAGTCGACGACAAGCAGTTGGTGCTCCTCGGCGGCTACAAGGAGTCCGACAACGCCATCTACAAAGAAATCGCAGTTCTTCACACAGGTACGGCACTGCGTTGATGATGATGATGATGAAGAAGAAGAAGGAGAGCTCCTCGATGATAGAAGTTTGCTGTTTCATATATGCAGACGACATGAGCTGGCACCAGGTGTCGGCGCGTGCGGTTGGTCCAATGCTGTGCGCAGTGGCCACTCGGCCACACTCATCGAGGGCGAGGGCATACTCGTGTGCGGTGGCTGGAAGCCGGACTACATCCAACCGGCCTACTGGATCGACCTACGCATGACCTACGCATGACCAAGGGCTGCTACAGGAGAACACCAGATGAACAGTGCACAAACTTACAGCTCCGGCAGGCAGCGTGCTGTGCACGTGTGTTGGTGCATCAAATAATAAAATCAGTTATTTGTTCGGAGTTGAAAAAAAAGGGAACGCAAAATACAAAAAAATACAAAAAAATCAATCAAGCAAATCAAAGCCGAGGAGGATGCAAGAGGATGGCGGGAACGCGTCGTGTAATGCGATAGATTTGGACCTAAATGAGGCTGGTGAAGAGCCCGAGGTGGCCAAGCCTCGAGAGGAAGCTAGAGCGGGCGAATCGGCTGATGTATTGGATGCAAGTAGCGGCCTTGATCTGAATAAGGAGAGCCCCAGCCCACCCCCGCCCAAAATCGAGATCAAGATCGAGCCTGCCGCCGAGCCACCCACTGTTGTGCCAGGGTCCCCCACCCCCGGCCAAGCGGATGCCGAGGCCGAGGAGCGTCGCCTGCGGGAGCTCCTGCTCGACGGCGTGAAGCAAGAGCAGGCCGTGCCCAAGCAAGAGAAGGAGGAGGAGGAGAAACGCGTCAAGTCGCGCAGCCGTAGCCACAGCCGCAGTGCCGAAGCGATGGCTCCAGACAGAGACCAAGATGAGAAGAAAAAGGAGCGGAAGAGGGGCCGAAGCCGAAGTAGGAGCCGAAGTCGAAGTCGAAGTCGCGACAAGAAGCACCGCAGCAGCAGACGAGAGGTCAAGGACATCGACGATGACGACTACTCGCGTAGCGAGCGGCGTCGAAGCCGCGGCAAGCCCGAGAGGGAGGACAGCACCAGAAGCAGAAAGAGGAGTCGAAGCCGGGAGGAGCGCAAGAGGAGGAGTCGAAGCAGAGAGAGGAGCAAGCGGGAAAGGAGGAGCCGAAGTAGGGAGAAGAAGAGGGAAGAGAAGAAGAAGAGGGAGAGGAGCCGAAGTAGGGAGAAGAAGAGGGAAAAGAAGAAGAAAAGGGAGAGGAGCCGAAGCCGGGAGAGGAGCAGGGACAGACGCGAGAGGAAGCGAAGCCGTCGCAGCCGCAGCAAGAGTCGGGAGAGGAGCAGGGACCGCCGCCGTAGCCGTAGCCGCAGCCGCGAGCGCGTCAAGAGGTGGGACGTGAAGAAAGAGGACGAGTGGGTCGAAAAGCAGCCCGCGATGCCAGCCGCCGCCGCTGCCGGGTCTGCTGCGCCGGTTGTGGGTCCGGCGATGGTGCCGACCCAGCTGTTGCTGGCCCGGCTCGCGGGCTATCCGACGGCCGGGCTCACCTACCCAGGCGGACCGGCGAATCCCCTGCCGGCGCCGCCTCGGCCCGCAGCAGCTGCAGCCAGACCGGTACCGCCAGCGCTGCCCGCGCAGCCGGCGCACGTCGACCCCGAGGAGGAGCGGCGTCGGAAGCTGCAGGCGCTCGCTGGCTACGGCCAAGATCGCGGAGCCATGCCGCACGAAATGGACGCGCGCATGCCCATGGGACTCGGCTTCAAGCCTGGTGCGTACCCGTCGGTCATCGACAGCTGTCTTGAGGTGGTGGTTGGGCTGACTCGCTCCGTCAACATCCAGAGAAGCACGGCCCTATGATGAACCAGCCCATCGCGCCGGGAATGTCCGTGTCGGTGCCGATCGGCAAGAAGAATGTGATCTTCAAGGGCTGGAAGAAGGGCGAGACGGTCACGCAGGACGACATCAAGCGGGACACGAGCGGCAGCAGCACCTCCCTTCGGTCGCTCTCCGACAACACCAAGGTAACCTCCCCACCCTCGCTGTGTACAACAGGCACACGCGCGTCACGGCGAAGACGGCGACCGTAGAGTACAACCAAGCACCGTGTTGTCGAGGCAGCAACTGCGCTCCACTCCGCATCGTCAGGCTCTCGGCAGGCCCTCGGTTGCATCATCTGCGCTGAGTGGCCCGCGGGGGGTGCGGTACTGGAACGTGTGCAAGAAAGGCGTGGAGGAGGGAGAAGGAGGAAGAGGTGGCGGTGCACTGCAGGCTCTCATGAGCTGTGCCGTGTGCCCGGGCCAGTGTGATTGCTGCAATCGCCTCGTCAGCGTGGTGCACACCTCTTGGACAAGACGGGTCCGCACAGATTACGCGTTTGAGCGGTTGGCCCGCGCGCGGGCGTGAGCCGCCAACCCCTCCCAAACAAAAAAACGTAATCTGTGCGGGTCCTTCGTGTCCAAAAGGTGTGTACGCCCATCGGAAGCACTGCTGCACCTGCTGCCTCTGCTCTCTCTCCCTCTTCTCTCTTCGCGCGCGCTCTCTCCGCCCGCGCACGTTCCCGCACTCCTCGCGGGTCGAGATCTCGGTGGCACTGCTGAGACTGGTGGCAAGCGCGCTGACCACGCCATTCCCACCAGCTTTCCATGTCACCGACGAGACCTCGTCACGTGTGGCTACCGGCGTGGCAGCGCAGCGCAGCTCATTCGGCGCCGTTCTCTTCTATGTTGTCGTACCGTGCCTGACGTCTTATCTCCCTCTTCTGTAGAGCACGGTGCAAGTGCACGAGCACCACTTCAACGATCACAAGATCACCGGCGGCGTTGGCTTCAAGATGCTCCAGAAGATGGGCTGGGGCGGCGACGCTCTCGGCAAGCACGAAGACGTACGCAGCCCTTCATGCTTCGCCCTATTTGGGGGTGGTGTGTTCAGCAGCTGACCATGTGGCCTGTCGACGCGCACGCACGCAGGGCATTGTCGAACCGATCGCGATCACAATGAACCCCGGCACGCGCGGATTGTGCGGGGCCGATGAGAAGGCGCAGGGCAAGAAAAAGAAGAAGAAGGGCGGCCTGCGCGGACCCACCGACGAGCCCCCCAACAACCCCAACTACAACTACGTCAAGTGTCGCTTCGACCCCAATGTACGCTTGCCCCACGTAACAACGCACGCACACACCACGATTGCGTGTGCGATTGAGGGCTGACCTGTGTGTGTGTGTATGTGTGTGTACCTCGTACGACAGCACGTCGTGCCGGAGCAGCGCCTGGCCAAGCACGAGCTCAACTGTCCGGCCAACCCCAACCCGGCGAGCCACAAGGCGCAGCTCAAGCGACAGAATATGCTGATCAATAGCAGCAGCGCCGCAGTCACCGGACACAAGAAACAGGTTCGCCACAACACACACACACACACACCATCACACACATCACACACATCACACACACCGTCTTCTTCATCGTCTCACTGAGCGTGGCCCTCCACCAGCGCCAGGCCTACGATCGGTATCGGCCGCCGCCCGTGCACACGCCCGGGGTGGGACCCGCGCCCGCCTTTGCCTACGGACACTCGCTCCCGCCCACGCCCATGCCCGCAGCCGCAGCCGCAGCCGCAGCTGCCTACCAACAGCAGCAGTACGCCATGTGGGCGGCCTACCAACAGCAACAGCAGCAGCACCAGCAGCAGGCCTACGGCTGGCCTGGCGCCCCTACGCCGCGCATGTAGGCAGCACCCCTTCCTTGAAGAAGAGGAAACTGTAAATGACGATCACTCGACCCAAAGAGAAGATGGAGAGGGATAAGAGAAGACGCTGGCGCGAGCGCTCCCGACTTCTCGAATAAAGCGCAGCTTAAAAACGCCACGTACGCACGCACAAAGAGCCGAAGTTGATGATAAGACGCGCGGCTGGACAGCAGGGCCGACCGGACGACCTCTTGGCCACCAACACGCAAACGATGATAGAAACGATACAAGTGGGCACTGCAGATGGTACGATACTGGGTGCCTTCCTGTTTTACGAATCATTCATCCATTTTTAAATGATGTGAATCGAATTCATTTGCAGATGCACAAGGGGGCGCGCTGTGCGACCCCTTGGGCCACGTGCCGCCCGAGCTGGCCATTCACGTCCTCAGCTACCTCACCGACGCCGAGCTCGCCCACGCAGCCTCTGTATGTCGGTGCGCACATGCGTCCACCCCACTGCACGAGCCCAAAAAATGTGTGTGCGGCGTGTTCTCTCCGCTGACCTCTTTCTCGAACATGCCGCGACGCGCCACCAACGCAGGGATTGGTATGGGCTGGCCAACGACGACCATGTACGCCTTTGTGCCCACCTCACCTTGTGGCCGCTGTCGTCACTGCTCATCGGCGCCCACACGCCACGTTGTGTCGCTCGTGCGTGGCAGGTGTGGCGCGAAAGGTTCAAACGCCGCTTCGACAAGGGAGCAGAGGGCCGCAAGGCCGCAAGGGCTCGACGACGCGGGCTGCCCGGCGTCGCGGCCGAAGGCGACGAGGAGGCGATCGAGACCGAGCGGCTCGTGCTCGACGACCCTCGCCTCGACGACATGCTCACCACCGCCACCACCGCCGACCTCGGTGACCTGGAGTCGGGCGCGGCGCACGGTGAAACCGGCGACGACGAGGCGGAAGACGAGGAAGAGGGCGAAGGCGACGTCGACGACGAAGAAGAGACGGAGGAGTTGGAGGGCATCCGGCGGCTGGTCATCCCGTCGCCGCTCTCCAACTCGGCCAAGTGGAAGACCCTCTACGTGGAGCGGCACATGCAGCCGCAGATCAAGCTCCTCCGAATCCTCAGCGAGAACACCTCCCTCGGTACCCCCGATCCCTCGTCTCGGCCATCATATACACTACGCACGTGAACGCTGACACACGACACGACACGACACGACACGCCACGACACGACACGACACGACACGACACGACACGACACGACACGCCACGCCACGCCACGCCACGCCACGCCACGCCACGCCACGCCACGCCACGCCACGCCACGCCACGCCACGCCACGACCAACGACACGCCACACGGCACGACCAACGACACGACACGACCAACGACACGACACGACACGACGACTGTAGGTCGTCTGATGGACAAGAATAGGCTGAGGAAGATTGAGGCCACGATTCTGAATCCCAATCGGAGTACCCTCACTCCCCACCCACGTCATTGCTTGCGGCTCGCCCAGGCCCGGGTATTGGGCGGGAGCTCGCTTTGGAGGTGTTAACCTTTGGTCCACGACGTGGTGGTGGTTGCGTGCGCTGCAGTGGTTTTGGAGCGCTTGGGCAAGTACCCGCACCTCGTCAGTGCGTTTGCCGCCAAACGATCGCTCATTCAGACGAAGCTGGTACCATGCACGCAACACAACAACCAGCAGCCAACAGCAGCATCAACAGCAGCATCAACACTGATCATAATGAAAATGATCGTTGACTGACGGCTGGCACTGGCGCACGACAGGAGTTTTTGCAGCACATCACGAACAACCTGGTGTGTTGCCTGCTGGGCCTGATCGTGTGGTGCTGCGTGGAGGTCTTTTTCCCCGATTTCTTCGACTACCCCTACCTCTTTATTCCGTTCACCTGGTGCGCACGACACGCACGACACACATACGCCGCACACACACACGCCACACGCCACACGCCACACGCCACACGCCACACGCCACACGCCACACGCCACACGCCACACGCCACACGCACAACACGCACGCCTCACCCCGCACGCCGCACACAACACACACACACACACACACAACACACACACACACACGACTTACGTCTGCAACCCCACGCAGGTACAATCTGGGCCGCTTCTGGCTTCTGTTCGCCTACGCGGCCGTGTTGTGCGTGGCCTACAATTGGCTGCTACCCCAACCCACCTCGCTACGCCGCACCATCTTCCTCTGGAGCGCCGCCAACAGCATTCTCGCTGTATGTACTCCTGACTCCCTCTCGTCGCGTGTGTCGTGTCGTGTCGTGTCGTGTCGTGTCGTGTCGTGTCGTGTCGAGCGATGGTGTGAACTGACTGCAGTTGGTTTGCGTTGCCGTGCAGGGCCTGCTCGAAGAATGCGGGTTCCGGTTTCTGTACATTTGCACGGCCATGCTCTCCATATTGGCCGTCGACTATGCAATCAAAGGTGCGCCACCTCAACCCGGCGTCGCATTCCGTCGCTGTTATTATATTGACCGTGACGTCAAACTTGCGCGTCGTGCGTGTGCGTGTGCGGTTGTGCGTCGTGTCATGTCGTGTGTGTCGTGTGCGTGCTTCGTGTGTGCGTGTGCGTGTGTGTGTGTGCGGACCCGCAGGAGTGATGATGGCGTTGGCAGGGTTGATGCTCTACGCGACTGTGATCTCAGTCGTCGGGATCGTGCGTCGACCGATCAATCAACTGACCAGGCGCGAAGCACTTTCCATCGCAATCACAGCCGCCATGTGCGGTCTCTTCGCCTATCTCTGTACATTGCCTTAATCTCTCTCTCTCTCTCTGTGTGTGTGTGTGTGTGTGTGTGTGGTGTGCGTGTGCGTGCGTGCTGTGCGTGTTTGTGCGTGTGCCGTGTGTGCGGTCGTGCCATTGTGTCGGTGCCGCTGCTGATGGATTTGTTTGGGGGGACAGCAACGTTTTTCGTGGTGATGGGGGTCTACGAGATGTTCATCGTCCCCGGCACCAACTTCATCACTCTGGGCCACTTTGGTACGCACACGCATGCGCTCATACGCGATGACACGCCCTTCTCACCCGGCACACGGCACACGACACGACACGACCACACACGTCTAAACTGTAGAGGACATCTTCTACGACGAGAGTCGCCGCTTGTTCGTCATTGGCATGCTGGCCGCCAACGGCTGGTACCCGCGTGCTTCGCTCCCCGCTTGTTTCGCGCGCTCTCGTCTAACCCGCACGAACCAACGCGCAGGTTCCGCGACTCCCACAAGTACACTGGCGTGCTCGGGTGGGCCAATGCCTGGATCATCGGTAACCACACCGCACACACCGCACACACCGCACACACCGCACACACCGCACAGGCGAGTGCTGAGTGTGTGTATGTGTCCTCCGCAGGGTTTGTGATGATGTACGCGTGCCTACACTACGGGCTGATGCTGACGATCGTGGTGCACGCCCTCTACGACCTCGAGTTCGTGGTCCTCTCCTTCGTCCTCTCCTCGGCCCGCACCCACCTCGGCTGCCTGCCCACCGAGCCCCTCCTCCCCATCGTCGTCTCCTGATCCCGTGGTCCTCCACCCCACAACCACCAAAGCCTTCTCCCACAAAAATGTAGTCTTCTCTTTCCTTCTACAATGGTGCGTGCGCGTGCGGTGGTGCGTGTGCGGTCGCGCGTGTGTGCGGTGGTGCGTGTGCGGTTTCAGAGGCGGTGGGTGCGGCGGAGGTGGTTCTCGATCTTTTGGCGGGTGGCGTCGTCCAGTTGGGCGACGACGTCGGGCCGGTCGCGCAGGAGCAGCTTCCAGTTTTGAACCAGAAACACAAAGCAGCTCTTCGCCAGCGACGACGCACGCAACACCACCGCTGGCATTCGCAATCCACAACATGGTCAATACACGACTCGCACGACACGACACGACACGACACGGCACGACACACACGGCACACGCGTGAGAGAGCGTACCGGCGTCGAGGAGCTGGGCCACGTTGGAGGCGTCGATGGCGGCGATGGTCTGCTCCTCGGCCAGATGCTTCAGATGCGGCAGGTTGAAGCTCTCCGCCGCGTTCATAAGCTGCACGTAGTCATCCAGCGTCGACTCCTCCTCCTCCTTCTCCTTCTCCTGTCCGTCGTCGTTGTCATCGTAGGCGTCGGCGCGGCGGTCGAGGTCGACGGGGTCGAGGGTGTTGGTGTAGAGGTAGGCGATGATCCGGCGAAAGACGGCGTAGGTGCAGTCGCTGGCGTCCATGTCGATCTCCCGCTGGCCGCTCTCGCGCATGCCCGCCGAGAACATGGCCTCGAAGTAGCTACACCGGAGCGCCTAGACCGCGTCGTTGAGTGCGTGCGTGTGTGTCGCACGATCAGCGAACGACACGACACGACACGCGCGCGCGCGTGCGAATGGTGATGGGGTGGGTGTGGTACCAGGACGGCTTTGTGGGCGCGGATGGTGCGTCCGCCGACCACGAAGGCGACGTCGGAGAAGAGCGGGTTGTCCACCATCGCCCGCATGTGCGCCTCCAGCGGATCGCGCACCGCTCCCCCGCCGCCCTCCGCCGCCTCCTCCTCCGTCTCCTTTTTCTTCGGCCGCTTCTTCTGCCGCTCCTCCTGGTCCTCCTCTCCGCCCGCGTCGGCGCCGTAGGGGAGCAGACACGCGAGCGCCCACGCGACCAGGGGCGGCAGCGGCTGGTGGTCCTGCGGCGGAGGCGGCTGTGGGCGGCCGTGGCGCTGCTGCGGCAGCGACTCGGCCTCGGTCGGTGGGCGGTCGGCGGCCTCCCCTCGCTGCCACAGCCACCCGCGCAACTTACGCCTCCACGACGCGGGCGGCGTTGGCTCGGTGGTCGTCGTGGGCTCGCTCTCGTCAGTAGCGGCCGTGTCGTCGATGACGTCGGCCGCAGTGTCGATGGCGTCGTCGTCGGTGGCGGTGGCGGCGTCGAAGGTGGCGGCGATGGTGGGCGCCATCTGCTGGAGAGCGGCGAGGTCGGCCTGGGCGGCGATGAGCTGGAGTCGGGTGAGCTGCGGGCCGCCGTAGAAGCTGCGCAGGAGCCGCCCGAAGAACGACCCCGACACGCCCGCCGGCAGCTCCACCTCCAGCACCGGCCTTTCCCCCACTTCACCGCCGTCGGCCTCGGTCCACCGCTCGGCGATCAGTCCCCTGAAAAAGGCCGAGCCGGCCAGCACGCCTGTGCTGACGTCAGCACCAGGCGTCGTCGAGAAAAGAGGAGAAGGGGCGTTGGGTGGTACAGCGGTGGGCGTGGAAGGGGGTCTTGTCGCCGGTGGAGGTGGTGGTGAAGCGCAGGTCGGCATAGCCGCCCGGCTGGTTGTAGGCGCCCAGCCAGTCGACGCCCAGCGGCGACGAGCTCTTGGCCGGCCCTGCGAAGAGAATGGTGTGTTCGACGCCGGCAACGGCGTGGGTGATGTGCTGCACGCCCTCGAGCTCCTGCGGGGTGGTGATGACCGTGCCCTGGTTCATGCCGTCCATCAGGGCCGACCCGCCGCCGCACAGGTACACCTTGCCCGAGTCTATGCCCGCACACCACATCGTCAACACAACACACGACACGCACGACACGCACGACACGCACGACACGACACGCAACACACGCAACACGATGAATGGTGGCGTGTGCCTGTGATGAAGATGGTGTGGGCGGAGCCGCAGCCGATGCTGGCGATCTTGAGCGAGGCGAGGGCCTGGACCGCGGTCGGCGTGTGGCCGTTCTCGCGGTCGCCGGTGCCCAGAGTGCCGTACTTGTTGTCGCCCCACGTCAACGCCCGCCCGTTGACTGGGTCCGACCACCCCAGCCCAGCCAGAGAGGTGGTGGTGGGTGAGCGGAAGACATTACCACTCTGAGGGCCGGGATGGGTTCTTACCGGTGACGGCGGCCGCGTGGTCGGGGCCGGCGACCACCTGCACCACCCGGTCCTGGCTCAGCACTTTGACCGGCGTGGATCGCATGCCACCGAACTTTCCGATCCTGCTCGCACGCACGCAATGTGTGGCCCGCGACACACACACCACACACCACACACCACACACACACACACACACCACACACACACACCACACAACACACAACACGCACGCAGCACGCATGCAACACGACATACACGTGCGCGTTAGAACTCGTTATGTGTTCCGAAAAGTTGTAGGGAGGCGCCTCGGACCCGAGCTGTCCTCGCGAGTTGTCGCCGCAGGCGTAGAGTTCGCCGGTCTGAAGCAGCACCAGCGAAAACGACATTCCCAGCGCCACCTGCACGAAACCCGAATGGAGGCACTCGTTCGTACATCGCACGAAACGCACGACACACACACACAGCACACACGACACACGGCGAGGTGGGCGGCACCTTGTCGACTTTAAGCTTCAGGGAGGCCGGGCAGAGCTTGGGCTGGTAGTACATGACATCTTCGTTGTTGCCCAGCCCGAGCCGGCCGAACGCACCCGCGCCAAACACGAACATCTGCACCCACACACACCCCGCCCGGTATGTCAAGAATGCTCAGACACCAGACTTTGCCCGCCCTCCCACACCCCCACGAAGCACCGCGCGCGTACCCGCCCTTCGCTATCGACGCAGGCCGCGTGTGCCCAGCCGCACTTGATCTGAACGATCGGGCACTGGCTGCCCTCCTGAAATAGTATGAAGGTCGGCTGGATCAACTGTGGTGGTGGGTGGTGAAGAAGTTGTGTGAGAGCACAGTTCTACGAAATGGTTAGTGTGTGCGGTGTGTGCGGTGTGTGCGGTGTGGCACCCTGTCGTTAATTTTGCCCCAGACGACGACCTCGCCGTTCTGGGTGAGGGCCAAGGTGAAGTGGCCGGCGCAGGCGACGTCCACGAACACCCGGTCCTTGAGATCGCCGCCCACCAGGCGCGGCTGCAACACTTTCGGACCTCCCGAAACACACTCGCCATCTGCACAACACAACACGCACCACACATGACACACGCCACACACGACACACACGACACACACGGCTATCAGGTGGCTAAGAACGTGGGCGAGCGGAGTGGTGGTAGTGTGCGCACCACTGTTGTTTCCCCAGCAGAAGAGCCGGCCATCGGCGGCCACGGCGGCCGAGTGCCAGTCCCCAGCAGCGACTGCCACGAGGCTGGGCGCCACCACTTCGACTTCGCCAGGTCCGTCGCCCCAGGCAAAGTCGGTCACCGGCCCCGGCAGCAGCGGACCACCACCGAGCCGCCGCGACCGCAACGTCCGGCCCTGCCGGCAATTTATATTTATATTTATTTTTATTTTTATTTTAGTTATTTGTTTAAATCAAAAAATGATCAATTCAAAAATAATAGAACAGTATTGCGCCAAAAGGAGGCGAGCGCGTACCAGTTGGCCTTTGAGGTTGCTGCCAAACGTCCACATGAGCCTTTGCGTTTTTGTTTTGCTTCTGTGCCAGAAGCGTCAAGGCCTTGAGCGGTTCAGCGAAGCCAAGCGTGCCCAGGCGCGCAGCAATCGCGCAACACCAGCAGTCACACAGCCCCTGGGCTCGGTTGATGGGAGGAAGAGGGCTACAACCTACGTCGATGGTGTGTCGAATAAAGGCGAGAAGAAGTGTATTGTTTGAGTGCGAGAGTGGGGTGGCTGTGATGTGCAAGCGCGCTTGTGTGTGGATGCGTCGGTGACCGTCGGTAATATTAGCCCTTGCCGTAGTTGCGTTTGTGCGTGATGGGCGCGGGCAGCTTGGGCGCGATGTGCTTTGGCGGACGCTCCACCACGTGCAGCGACTCGCCGTCTTCGGCGAACCCCGCGTACAGCACCCACCCGAACGACTTGACGGTTGTGTGCTCCTGGAAGCGTTCGACGACGACGATGATGACACGGGCATCAACGAAGAAGAAAGAAGAATGAGCGACCTACAGGCGACATGTCAAGGAAATGAGCCGAAGGAAGAACAGTTACGTACAGTCCGGCCGCTGAGTCTGGAGAAAACGATGGCCGTCGGGGACACGCACATGAGTCGAGTGGAGTCCGACGGATCGAACACGGCGTCGTGGTAGGGATGATTTGGAACCTGGTGCTGCAGCCTGTTAACGAGGACGACCACGGCCGTGTTAGCAGTCAAAAAAACAAAAAAAAATGCGAAGGAGCAGCAGTCAGACGGAGGGGTGCGAGGAGGAGGAGGAGGCTCGGTACCCGCGAACGACGGACATGGCCTCGACGTCGAAGTGGAAGGTCTGGTGGCCAAACCGGTTCTCGCCCGTCCCGAGAGGGACGCCCTGCCTCACCCCGAAGAGGATGTTCGTGTTCGGCTGGAAGGCCAGGACCGTCACGCCGCTGGACGGGGCGAGCGAGGCAATCGCCCCACGGAACTTGATCTCGGGCTGTGGCACGCACACACGGCACACACGACGCACACGATGCAAGTGAGCGAGCGTGTCCTGATAGATCGCGGGGGGGTGCTGGTCCTGACCTTGGCGCCGGACTTGTCGATGGAGAACACGTCGACGCTGCCGCCGGGCCGTGCGGCCGCGACCCACTTGCCGGAGGAGGTCGCGACACGGCCCGTCCACGCCTGCGAGGTGCGAGTCCACTGTGTGCGGACACCAAATCGGCGACAGGTCTGTCAGCATGTGTGCCGCTCCTTGCACGCACGACACGACACGCAACACGACGCGACGGCCAATCAAAGAAGAATGGAATGGCGAGGATGACGTACGTCGGGAGCGCACGAAGCCACGACGGAGATGGTCGGCAGCATGTCGATCAGCTGCAGGCCACCGTTGAAAGTGCCGGTCACCAGGTAGTCGTCGCCCAGCCACGCCACCCTGTGGTGCCGATCCGACGCAACACGCACCCCGCCGAGGTCAGTGCGGTCCGCAAGTTGGGTTGGGCGCCAGGGCGCGTGGAGAGGGAGAGACGCGTACCATGCGGCGAGCTCGGCGTTGGGGATTTCGTGTTTGGTCACCCGCACCTCCTTGCTCTTGGCCGTGGCCTCGTCTAATCGGAAGATCTTGACGGCCAGCGTGTCGGCGCAGGCGATCATCTTTCCGTTGGGCGACAGCGCGCAGCTGATGACCTTCTCTCCCGTCTGCACACCCGCAACACGCACAACCGACACAAGGAACAAAGAGAGAAAAAAAAAGAGAAGGGGGGGAAAACAAAGCCAGCGCTGGGTGAGTGGTCGCGCGTGGATGAGTGCGAGGGAGCGGGCGGGCGGGCGGGACCTTGAGCTGCAGCTTGGCGATGAGCTTGGGCGTGTCGGCAATGGGGAGCGGCAGCCCGGACTCGCCCGGCTGCTCGCTGGCCCGGATGGCGAGGCTGCCCTTGACCTCCTGGCCGGCCTTCCACACCTCCAATACAGAGGGCTTGCCGTTGTACAGGAATCGGCCCCGCGAGGCGCTGAACGACACCATGGGGCGAGGCGGCAGCGGCGCGTACATCTCCAAGCCGGGGTGCTTGTCGGCCTGCACGAGCGACGACAGCGGCAGCGCGTGCAGGCTGCCATCCACGCCGCCTGAAGGGGCAAGTGTGTTGGTCAGGTGTCGTGTGTCGTGTTGCGTGCCGTGTGTCGTGCGGTGTGTGCAATGACAGTCCAGCAACCCAGAAAACAACCCAGGAGCCAGCTGCGGCGTACCCGAGGCAACGATTTGACCGGGGCTCATGGCCAGTGCAAACACGTCCCGCTTGTGGTGCCTAAACTTGCCTCCCAGGCCCCACTCGTACCCACCCGGACCTAAGAAATGGGGTGTGTCGTGTGTGTCGTGTGTGTGTCGTGTGTGTGTGTCACGTGTGTCGTGCGGTCGATGTTTAGAAGAGGCAAACGAGAAGCAAGCTCGGTTGAATGCGAGAGCGGCTGATGCAGCTGTGTGGGCTGGCGGTACCGCTGGAGGGGGTGCGACGAAGGCAGACCATGTTCGAGTCGGCCCCCGTGGCGATCACGACGACCCCCGAGTCGGGCTGGACGGAGTAGGCCATCGCAAGAACGTCGGCATCGTGGCTCTTGAGCGAGTAGACCTCGGAGGTGGTCGCCGGGTCCCACACGGAGAAGACACCTCGCGAATCGCCCGTGAGAATGGTCTCGTCCCTGATGGCAAGGCCGAAGCAACGAGATGAGTCGGGAGAGCGCACGGCCATGCAGCAAAATGGCTGTGTCGTGTGTGTCGCGAAGCCTGATCGATAGTGCAAGAGCGCCGGAAGTGTGAGGCGTGGGGGGGAGGACGGTACGCGAGCACGGCAATTGCCCAGATGTGGCAACGGCTCTGCACCTTGGCCAGCCTCAGCGTCACGGTGCTGTGGGACCCGGCGAGCTTCCACTGGCGCACGAGACCATCGGAACCGCCGGTGTAGAGCGTGTCGCCGATCTTGTTCCAGCCCACGCTCAGAGTCCGACCTGTGACGACCCGTCCACCCACTCGGGTCAGCAAAGCGTTGGAAGTCGGGAGAGAGCTCGCGAGGGGGACACCGTACCGGCGCCAGCTTTGGTGAAGGCCTTCTTGAACATGATGTCACCGTTGGAGATATCAAACAGACGCAGGCCGTCATCGCAAGCAGCGGCCAAGTGGTTGCCGGCAGGGTCGGCTGCGAGGCACCACACCGGACCGGCGTAAGAGTCGGTCGTGTACTGTGTGGTGTGCAGGGGCAGCGTTTGTGAGAAAGATGAAACAGGCTGGCCTCATTTGCAAAGTGATTAAATAAAATTGGAGAAAAAAAGATGGGGAGCAGCAACCTTTTTCTTTGAGGTGGTGAGATCCCATTCAATGATGTTTCCGCTGAGGCCGGAGGAGAACAGTCGGTCCTCTCCGTTTGCTCGCGTCCACACAAGAGACCGCACTGGCTCCTTGTTGACTATAACCTGCAAAAAGGAGAATTCCAACAACAAAATCAGTCTCAAATTGATTAATCAAAATGGATAAAATCGTGTGTAGCGCATTTTTGAGAGATTGGAGAGAAATGCCGTACCCTTTCGCCAAACCAGGAGCTGGAGCTCGAATCATGAACAACCCAAATCTCAATGTTTCCGTCACGGCGTGCGAGTGCCAAGCGGCTGCCGTCCATCGAGAAAGCGAGGGCATAGATCGTTGCGGGAACATACTCCGCAAATCGGCAACGATGCACACTAACGGCCTTTGACATCTTTGAATCGCTCAATGAACAGGTTTGCGCGATTCGTTGCCTCCTCAATTGCAAGGCCGATGGATGCAAGAGATGTGGTCCGTCCCGTCTCCGTGTCTCGATCTTTTCCGCCACCGCCGTTCCTCTTTTCTTCTCTCAGGTCGACAGAAAACGGGCAGCTCCACAAGAAGACGAACAAGACAAGAAGAAGAAGGTTTGGTGGTTGCCAACGTATGTTTGTATTGAAGCAAGGACCAAGATGAAGGGGGTATTGAAACAGATTGGTACAAGAGGAAAGCCACTTGATCGCGCAGGCGCAGGCGCCTTGGAGCTGAAGGCGCACAGGCGCTTATCCCGAGTGGGCGACAGCCTCAGTGACGAGCTTGCGGTCCTTGATGAGCGTGCGGAACTGCTCGGGGATGGGGATCTCGATGATGTCGTCGTTGGGGTTGAGGCCGGGCAGCACGACGTTCATCTCGTCGGACTTGGAGGTGACGATCTCAGTGTCGAAGCCCTGTAGGCGTGATGTGCACGTGGTGCGTTTGTTAACAACACACAGTTGAAGAGAAGAGAAACAGAGAGAAGGTGGGATGGATGGAGGCATACCTCGGCAGACAGGAAGACCTGGCAACCAGAGGTCTTGTCGATGGCGACGGAGGGGACCTTGCCGGTCACCTGCACCTGGACGCTGGCGCAGTTCACGACCTCGGCCACGGAGATGGCGTTCTCGAAGACGAGACCGGTCTTCTTGCACGAGTCAAGCATGATCGAGTTGACCTTGCCCTTGATCTGGATGACAGAGTCGTGGCACTTGTAGATGTAGACAGTCTGCCTGACCTCCGGGTTCTCGATGACGATGTTCTTGTTGCCGACTTGGTTCTCCTGCAGGTTGAAAAAGAGAGGAGGGTCAACAGTGTCCATGACAGAAGAACGGAGACATAAGAGACGTACAATCTTCCACTTCTGGCCATCGAGCTCGAACTTGGGCGGGCCAAGCTTGGGCGCAGCGGCAGCGGCGGGCTTGCGGACGGGGGCAGCGGCGGGAACGGGGGCGGCGGTCTTCTCCATGTTCTTGGTCTTCATGTCCTTGGTCACGTGCTTAAGACCTGTTTACGAGGTTGGGTCAGACGTGCTGCAGCGTCGGTGAGAACTGCAGAGTACAGGGCGCGTACCAGCAGTCTTGCCGCCAGCCTGACGCTCCTTGACGGCGTTGATCTCAGCGAAGAGAGCAGCGTGGGCACCACCACCGCTGGAGGCGGCGGAGAGGTCGACGACGGGGGGGAGGAGGGGGGGCCGGCAGCGGGGGGGAGGGGGGGCACCACCCGAACTGGCGGGGGGCGCAGCAGCGGAAGCCACCTTGGACACATCACCACCCTGGTAGAGAAAGGTAAGAAGCGTGCACCTTCGCCAAGCCCGCACGGAATCGCGAGTGTTGATGAAATCGGTAAAGGCGGCGTTCGTACCTGAGGGTTCCAGGTGAGGTCGGTAGTGTGGTAGGTCTTGATGAAAGCGCGGAGCTCCTTGAGGAAGGTGTTCCAGGCAGTGACCCACGCGACCTGGGTCTTACCCTCGGCCGACTCGTCCTTGCGGTACTGCATGAGCAGCTTGTTCGAGTAGAACTCAGACGAGGCGCGGGCCTCATCAACGAAGGGACCAGGGGTAGGGGGCTGTCGGGAAAAAAAAGGCCGTGAGCAAATTGAGGGCTGGATGAGCTCTTGCTCTACTCGAATGGATAAGCAGAGAAAAGGGAGCGAATTAATAGCGAACAAGAGCTAAAGACGTACGCTGGCAACCCAACCGAGAGCAGTGATACCCTCGCTGATGGTGGAGAGATGACCGAAGACCTTGCTGGCACGGTTGGCATCCCTGATGGCGACGATCTTGCCCATGAGGTCAGAGGTGGGCTTCAGCAGGTTGCCGAAGGTGGTGGCGTCGGGCTTCTTGCTCTGCGAGGCCTTGTAGAGGAGATCCCTCTGGGCCAGGACGGCCTGCTTGACAAGGTCGGCCTGCTGCTTGACCAGGGGGTCGATCTTGGCCGAGACGTTCACGTACTCGTCGATGTAAGTGGACACCAGGTTGTCGAATTCGGACACGGCCTTGGTCACCTCACCAGAGGCAGCCGGGGCCGACGAAGCGGCACCACCGGCACCACCGCCCGACTGGAGCTGCTTCTCGACCGACTCGAGGCGAGCGGCAACGGCTTCGAGCCTGCTCAGGAGCTGGGTAATCGCGGCGTCAGACATTGATTTGTGATGTTCTTCTTGTGGCTGTGTGGCTTCAAGAGGTGGCAAGACGAAGAGAACAGCTTTTGTGGCTGGCGACCAACCCCCCAACCACCGCGCAGCGCACTGTCAACCAAAGCAACGCTGTACGTGTCGACAAGAACCCATTCCAATAACCCCGGCCCATCCAATAACGACCTTTCTTGGACGCAAGTAGCCGCCCAAAATCCAGGTATTTCATTAACACCCGGAATTTCAACTCACAACAAAATAGCGCGAATTCTTTCGGCTGACGTGGGCTTTGCGAATACCAGCATTTTTTTGAGCAGGTTTCTTTTTCTTTCGTGTCGATCGGTGGATCCGAATTGTCGTTGATTGCGGTTCTCTCGCTGGTTAGATAGAACAAAGAAAATGTCGTCCATCCGCTCGCGCGCCCCCTCGATGCTGCTCCCCACCAAGCTCGGTACCTCCGGTCGTCTGGGTGCCGCTGCCCGCCGCCTCTCTTCCGGCCAGCCCCAGGCTGCTCGCGATGTTGAGAAGCGCCTTCGTCTGCCCGAGTACCTTCTCAATGTCCCCCCGACGCAGGTGCGCACCTCTTCCGCTTCAGCGGGGCATTTATCACTGCGTTGACTTCGATTCTGCCTCCAATCATCATCCCCCCTTGTGAATCTGCCCTATTTCGAAGATATTAATAATCGTTCCATTTTGAACAGGTCACTGCCCTCCCCAACAAGTTCCGCGTTGCTTCCGAGCACAAGCACGGCGAGACCGCCACCGTGGGCGTGTGGATCGATGCCGGCAGCGTGTGGGAGACTGCCGAGAACAATGGTGTGGCCCATTTCCTCGAGCATCTGGCCTTCAAGGGCACCAAGAACCGCACCAAGGAGCAGATCGAGGTCGAGATCGAGAACATGGGCGGCCAGCTCAACGCCTACACGTCTCGCGAGCAGACTGTGTACCACGCTCACGTGTTCAAGAAGGACGTGCCCAAGGCTGTCGAGATTATCTCCGACATCATCCAGAACTCCAACCTCAAGGAGGACGATGTTGAGCGCGAGCGTGGCGTCATCCTGAGGGAGATGGAGGAGGTGGAGAGCCAGACCGAGGAGGTCATTTTCGATCACCTGCATTCCATCGCCTTCCAAAACACCTCGCTGGGCTACACCATTCTCGGCCCGGAGAAGAACATCAAGAAGATCAAGAGGGAGGACCTCGTCTCCTACGTCGGCAAGCACTACACCGCCCCCCGCATGGTCCTTTCCGCCGCCGGTGCCGTCGACCACGACGAGCTCGTCAAGCTGGCCGAGAAGCACTTCAGCGGCCTCTCGTCGGAAACCAACGTCGACTACTCCAACCGCGAGAAGCTCTTTGGTAGCCCCCCCCCCGGCCATCGCATCGAGCGCGAGTTAGATGAATCAATCCATTAATCCCCCCCCCCCTCTCCCAATCTACGAGCAGACTTCACCGGTTCGATGGTGCAGGTGAGGGACACCAGCATCCCGCTCGTCCACACCACCGTGGCCGCCAAGAGCGTCGGCTGGTCCGACCCGGACTACTTCACCTTCCTCGTGCTCCAGCAGCTCGTCGGCAGCTGGGACCGTTCGCTCGGCGGCGCCAAGAACCTGAGCTCCAACCTGGCCGAGACCTTCGCCACCGAGGAGCTGGCCCACAGCCTCATGTCCTTCAACACCTGCTACCACGAGACCGGCCTCTTCGGCGCCTACTTCGTGGGCGAGATGGAGCGCACCAGCGACGCCATCTTCGAGGTGCTGCGCGAGTGGGTGCGCATCGGCTCCGGCGTGTCCGAGGTCGAGGTCGAGCGGGCCAAGAACAAGCTCAAGTCCACCTACCTCATGCAGCTCGACGGCACCCAGGCCGTGGCCGAGGACATCGGTCGGCAGCTGCTCACGCTCGGCCGCCGCATGCCCGCCGCCGAGGCCTTCATGAGGATCGACGCCATCGACGCCAAGAAGGTGCGCGAGGTCGCCTACACCTACCTCAACGACGTCGACGTCGCCGTTGCCGCCGTCGGCTCAGTCGACTCTGGCCTCTTCCCCGACTACAACGTTCTCCGAGGCTGGACCTACTGGAACAGGCTCTAAGCCCGCTGAACGCGTGCCCGAGCCCTCCCCCCCAATCCTTCACTCACCCACCAGCAACCACCACCACCACCACCACCATACTACTAAACTATTCGCCCCCGTCCACCCGTCAATCTCTCAACACAACGCCCTTTCTGTCTTGGCCACCGCCAGCTTTCGCTTCCTCCCTGTCCACCCAAAACGTAGACAGCTGCACGGGGTCTACTCGGTGGTGGCCTTTGTGCTGCCCGACACCCTCCAAGCGTAGTCGTCGTCTTCATCGGCCTCGTCGAGCACCGGCTCGTCATCGAATCGCATGTCGGCGCTGGGCATCTAGACTGCGGCGGTGCAGCAGTCGTCAGCCGAAGAAGAAGAGTCAGCACAAATGGTTTCGCTGCTGAAAACGGAAGAGAGTGGTGACCGCTCCTCTCTCCGCTTGCGCAGATCCTGACCGAACGAAGACGAGCGAGGAAGAGTAGAACAGAGTTTTTTTATTTACAGTCCGCTGAAACCACAGATGGCCGGAGGAGAACCCTTCGCACCACGTCTGTCCCATCCGTCCGTCTCACCACTGCCGTCACCTCACACACGCACACACCACACCGGCCTCACTCTAACCGCTCTCTCCATCTCGCACTCGCCACTCCCCTCCATCGTCAATCACTTAGCAGTTAGCACCGCTCCTCCTCCGCCGCTCACCCGCGCGCACGCAAGTCGGTCCTCGCCAGCCTTAATGGGCTGCTGCACCGCTGATGGGCTCGCCTAGTCTCTCTCGTGTCGTGTGTGTCGTGTGTCGTGTGTGCGTCGTGTGTGTGTGTCGTGTGTGTGGCGTGTGTGTGTCGTGTGTGTCGTGTGTGTCGTGTGTGTGCGTGTGTGGCGTGTGTGTGGCGTGTGTGAGAGGAGACCAGGCTTGCCGATCGAGCGACACAGCCTTGCCCAGCTGGGTCATGGGACCTATTGCAAAAACGCGAGAGATAACGGGGATTGGGAGGTGGTGAGCCTACTAAGTGTTGCGTGGAGTATGGGATGTGTTGAGTGGGGGAGGAGCGTGGTGGGTTCCGGTTGTGTGTGTGTCATGGCGGGATCGGGGTTCAGTTGGTGGCGGAGGCGGCGACGTTTGCTGGGCTGTTGACGCAGAAAAGACAAGCAAGTCGGAGTCAGTCAAACGAAAGAACGAGAGCGAGAGCTGTCAAGTCAAAAGAAGAAGGCGGGGCACAGTACCTTCTTGGCGGCCTCGTTGACAGCTCCCTGTGGTCAGTGCAGCGTGAGCTCCAACGTCGTCCTCTCCTCGTTGAGCCAAGCGGTGATCTTCGACGAGAGGTTCTGCACCCGGCTGTCGCACCCGCTCAGCTTGTCGGGATGTACGGTCTTGAGCAGCTGGCGGAAACCGGTGTTCACTTTCATCAGCGTCGTCTTGGCAGGACCACCGCTCTCCACCTAGTCATCCACACCCACCACGCGTAAGGAATGGTGTTGTCAAAATAAGAAAAGTGGTTAAGTGGCAAGGTACCTTGCCGCTGAAGGAGACGAAGAGGGCGAGAAGGTCGCCGAAGGTGCTCTTCATGCTTGTCATCATCGCGTCGACGGTCTGCCAGAATCGGGATTCGGCGGCATTGGCTTCGTGGTCCTCGGCTTCAAGTTGGCCACGAAGCTCGAGCATGTCGCGCATCCAGGCCTCCCACACTTGGTCGTTGATCCCCGCAGGCCTGAGGTCCTGCGGGGTCCCGCTGAAGTGCTTCGAGAAGAAGCTCTCGGGAGTGTAGTCCTCGAAGAAGAAGCTCTCCTCTGGCTCCTCGTCGAAAGACTCCTGGCGCTCGAAGAAGCTCTCCTCCTCCGGCCCAGTGCTCTCGTCGGCCGCGAATGTTGGTGGTGTTGCGAAGGTCTTGAAGAACTCGTCGAAGGACGAGAAGCTCTCCTCGCCAGCCATGAAGAGCCTCTCCGTCTCTGGCTCTGTCTCTAGCTCCGGCTCCTGCTCCGGCTCAGGCTCCAGCTCGGTCGTGGGCTCGGGCATCTCGGTCTGGGGCTCGGGCTCCGGCTCGGGCATCCTGATCGTGGGCTCCACCTCGGGCCTCTTGATCGTGGGTTCAGGGTTGAGCTCAGGTTGTGGCTCCCGCTCCGGCTGGGGCTCGGGCATCTTGGTTGAGGGCTTGAGCTCCGGTGTCTTGGCCAAGGATTGAAGGGGAGAGAGGATGAAGTAGATGTTGGCGAGGACCGCCGCGATGAGCGCGACGAGGATGGTGGCGGACTTGATGGTGAAGATGAGGTTCTCGAGCTGTTCCTCCACGGCCTTGAGGTCGCTTTCCCCCTTCTCGACCTGGGCCTCGAGCAGGGCTTCGTAGGCTTGAAGGCCGTGGATGATGCCCTGCAGAGTTCCAATCTGCTTGGCGGATTCGATCTCGAGGGCCTCTTTCTCGGCTCTGGCCTTCCTCGCCTGGTTCTCGCTGATGGCCAGGGCCTGTTGAAGGCGCTGGATGGTGATCTGGAGCTGGTCGGTCTTGGTTACCCACTCCTCGATGTCGATCTTGAGCTTGGCCGATTTGGCCGTGCACTCCCCGACAAGAGTGGCACACGATGGTCCCGTGGGCTGTTGTGGCTCCATTGGGGATCTGGGCACCATCGGAGCCCATGATGGACGAACCATCAAAGTGGGCCGACCTGAGAGGGGGGATTAGAAGATGGTGTTACATTTGATTTGAAATTGAAAGCAGATTATGTTTAAATTTCAAATGAAGTTTAAAAGATGATAAGGAGGGGAAGCAAAATACCCTTCTCTGTTGTAGGTGCTTGAAAAGCCCCGCTGAGGAGAGAGGAGACGATTGCCTTGGTGTTGATGATCCATGCGGCGAGGCCGGAACCAGCCGCGGTATCTTCATCGTGGAGGTTCTTGTTGATGTTGTTGACGTTCGCTGACACGTCGGAAAGCAGAGTAGACACGAGAAGCAGCAAAACAAGGGCCGCCAAACGAGATCCCATTCTGGTTGTAGGTGGTGGGTACGAGTGGTGGTTGTTGGTGCTCTGCTGTACTTGATGTGTGCTCGATGTTTGTTACGACAAAGAAGAGCTCGAGTACAAGAAGAACCTCCTCTCCTACCTTGGCCGCCGCAAGAAGCCGGGATGAAACCAGACGTGCAACCCACCACTTGGCATCTTGTCATTGGGTTGTTTCGGTCGTTGTGCGTCTCGTCTCCCTTTCATTGGCCTGCAACGTGTTTCACGCCAGACCAGGTTTTGGGTGTCGACAATAAAGCCATTTCTTTCGAAACTTTGGGGGAAGAGGATCAACGTGGCAGCGGTACTGGTAAAGATCTCGGCGGTGGCCGGGTCCATGGTAAGAGATCCTTGGGGGGTCCAGGTCTGTCATGTGTGTGTGCGGTGCATGATGTGAACCAATTGGTAAACCAACAGCGCGGGGGGAGACGTAAGCAGGGGAGTAGAGTCCTCGGTCGTGGCGAGGTCGACCTGGGCGCCCTGTTCGAGCAGGAACTCCACCACATGGCGGTGGCCCCCTTCGCCCGCACTAGGAAGGGGATGCTCTCTCCCACGCCTCTTGTACCATATAAACGGGACGGAGCCGCAGTGATGCTGAGCTTGGCGATGACTTCCGGGCGCCACGTTTCCNGTCTCTCGTCCAATACCTGGTTTGAAACCCATGTTCTATCTGAGCAGCTGTCGAAATGAACGGTCAGAAGATGAGGAGGCTAGGTGTCGAGGAGCTTTTCCTGCCAGAGGGGAAGGCAACACATTGACGCGTGGCGTGGCCGTGGTTGAACAATGTTGTGCATTGTGCGAAACAGCAAGGAGAGCAACACACACCCTGAGGGAAAGAGAGGCAGGGACTAAAAAAACAAAATAAACAAATAAAAACAAAAGAAGAGACTCGTGGCCGCGCCCCACGCGGTGGTTGGGTTGGTGCGATCGTTCCCCTCCGGCCAAGCTTGCGCAGCGCTGCTCGTTGATCTCGTTCGTAGTCGGTCGTTGCTGGTCGCGTTGCTCCTCATCGTCGTCTCTCCCTCGTGCCAAGCCCCTCGAAGCGCCATTGCCGCCTCCTCCTCGCCGCCGGGTGTTTAGTTCGGTGATGGTCGGATGTTTAGATGGAGCTCTCGCGGACTTCGTTGAGGATGAGCTGAGCCTTCGTCAGCACATCCAGCATGCCCTTCGCCGCCGTGCGACGCGAGGCCACCGCGGACGACTCCTCCAGCAGGTTGTCAAAATAATCCTCCTTGTACAGATTGGCCACCAGCTCGTTCTGAATGCTGTCCTTGGCCTGCACAATACATGAATTCACGTCAGAAGCTCTTCTTCACATCACACACGATACACACCACACACACACACCACACGACACAAAGGGGAGCGCGTACCTGGTTGACCAGGAAGTGCATGATGGACTTGGGCACGAGATCCTGGATGTTCTTCCTCACGATGTCAAAGTAGGACACCAGGAGTGACTGGATCAACTCGGTCTCGAACTTCTCCTTGTCGGTGGGCGCGGAGATGGCGCGGATCGTGGCCGGCACCTGGTCGAGCTTCTCGCTCTTGCCGCCCGAGGCGGTGGTCTTCTTGACCTTCTTGTCGACCGAAGTCGTTCGCGACATGCCCGAGCCGGAGCGGGACGCGCTGGCGCTCGGGGGCGCCATTCGCGGGGCGGGCGCGCCGGGGGTGGCCGGCATGGGCGTGGAGGGCGGGGCCGCGGAGCGAGGGGCCTGCGCGCCCTGAGCCTGGCCACCGGGAGGAGCCTGGCCGCCGAAGAACATGTTAAAGAAGCCGTTGCTTCCGGGCTGGCCGTTGATATCGCCCTGACCCTGAGGCATCATCGGTGCCGGGGTACGCGTCGCCTTTGACTGTACATGGTCACGATGACAACGAATGTCAGACACCGTCGTGTGTCGTGCCGTGTGTGTGTCGTGCGCGCGCAGGGGGGGAGAGCAAACCTGAGACTGGGGCACAGGCTGGGGCTGGGGCACGGGCTGAGACGGCTGGCCGGGCTGGCCCTGCATCTGCTGCTGCTGCTGTTGGGCGAGCATGGCCTGCTGCTGCTGCATCATCATCTGCTGCTCCTGGGCGTGGGTCACGGCCATCCGCTCAAAGACCTGGGTGATCGCGCCGCCGCCGCCGACGAAGTCCGGGTGATTGGTGTTGATGTAGGCCAGCTCGACGGCGATCATGTTGGAGATCATCGCCTTCGTGGGCGATCGGCACTTCTGGAGCAGCCCGTTGACAACCTCCACGACGCGCTCGCGCAGGTTGGCGAATCGCAGGAGCTCCTTGGACTCGAGCTGGGCGATGATGCGCTGCAGCTCGTCGTAGACGAGGTCGACGCACTGGAGGGACGGGTCCTCGAGGCGCTGGATCTGACGGCGCACGAGCAGCTCGAAGGCGGCCTCGGGCACGAAGAGGGCGGCGCGCGGGCCGGTGGCGTTGCGGATGGCCGTGCGGATGTCGTTCATCGTCATGTCGTCGTTGGGGTTGATGCGGCCGAGACACCGGGCGAAGATGTCGTTGAAGATGTAGTTGATGCGCGCACCGCCGCACAGCTCGGAGAGCGAGAGGTCGGTGGACTTGCCCTCGACGGCGTTCTTGTAGTCCGTGGAGAACTTGGTGATGACCTGCAGCAGGAGCGCGCCCTGGCTGCTCTTGCCGTCGTAGAGCGGGTCGCCGTAGGTGAGCAGCTCGGCCTGGGCCTCGCCGGCCATCTTGTTGATCTTGGCCTTGAGCTCGGGCAGGCACTCCTTGATGTGGTTCATGAGGATCTTGTTGAGCGTCTTCGACAGGAAGGGCGTGCCGCAACGCGAGGCCACCGAGCGGTAGAGCGGGTGCGTGGTAAAGTACTCGGCCTCGGCCTTGAGCGCCGCGCGGATGGGCTTCTTCTTGATGATGTCCTGCTGACTCCTGTTGATGACACCGATGTAGCCCAATCGCAGGGGGATGACCCGGTTGAGCAGCATGTCCATGGCGTCCGTGCCGGCGTCCATGAGGTCGATCTTGGTCAGCACGCCAATGGTCCTTTGGCCTGATAACACAACACATCAAGAAGTTAACTCCTGCTGGCGCTCAAGTGTATGCTCGTGACAGGGCGTGGCGACGGCGAGCTGTACCGTCAGGATCAGCGACGGCGGCGATTTGTAGGGCATCAGAGTTGGAAAGATCTGTGTTGGCGGCGGTGACTGCAGCACAGAAAATCAAATTGATTAATAGTGCAATAGGTGATAACAATCATAATATAGGCCGAGATGGATGAGAGGGGAGGAAAGGTGCAGGCTGTTGCTGTACCGGCAAGGATGACGGCGTTGGGTCGTTCGATGTACTGGAGGACCATGGTCCTGATCTGTATTTCGATGTCGGCGGGCTGGTCTCCCACAGGCACTTTCGTGATGCCAGGCAAATCGACCAGCGTGAGATTGAGCACGTGAGGCGAGTAGATCTGGGTTTTACTCACGCGTGAGCCAAGCATCGAGCAGGCGTTATAGTTGAGATGGAAGGAGCACCTTGAGATTGATGGGCATGTGAGAGATGCCCTTGTTCTTGCCAGACATGCGATCCGTTTCGCGGACGATCTCCTCCCTAATTTGATTGAAATCGTAGAATATTTCATTTGGCTTGTGCAGGAACTCACCCCACTCCTTGAGTGCCGAGTCTGTATTGAGAGCAAACCAACATTAACCAAACAAGCGTTTCTAACAATCACCAAAAAAAATGATGCGCCCAAAGATGAAAGGCGACGTACCGTCATCATCATCGACGTTCTTCTTCTTTTTGGGATCGGTAGGCAAATTAATAAGCTGGAGGACGAGGGGGCGACGGGTGACGATGCCCTGACCACGAGGAAGGAAGTCGCGGCCGACGATGTTTTCCAGAACGGAGCTCTTGCCGCTCGACTGGCTGCCCACTACCACGATTTGCGGAAGATCAATGGCATCCGTGCCCAGAGCGTTGAACACGTCCTGAAGTTTGTTGATTACGGGGATGAGCTGGTCCATCGACATGGTGGCGAGAGCTTTTCTGCGAGGATGCGCCTCAACGATGTCTCTCCTCTCTCTTTTGGTGTTCTGTCTGATTTTGGTTGAAGGTGATCCACCCAGCACCTTCCCGCGAAAGCCGCCACGGAAACACAAAAAGAGCCACCAAAGGGGGAGGAATTCGAAATAGTTGGCAGCTTGAATGACAGCAACAAAAGTGAAATTCCTTGCTTTGGGTAATGCAGGGAAAACAAAGAAAAGGAAGAGGAATAAGGCAGACGCGACGTGTCGGCCCACACACGACCGCACACGCACACAACACGATGACACGACACGACACGAGACACGACACAGCGTAACGATTGTGCAGCGCTGTGAAGAAGAGAAAGAGGTTGCGAATGAATGTATTTGTGTCACTGGCAGGATTAGAGACCGTGCACCATGTTCTCGCGGTGGATGAGGTGACACGTCTTCTCGAGGAGGTTGAGGAGGTCGGAGATGTTGTGCGAGTACTCGTTGAGGACGTCGCTGGGCTCCTTGCGCTTGATGAAGGAGACGACGGCGCGCGGCCGATCGATCTTGGCAAAGACGACGCCGTTGGAGACCATGTCGGAGATGAACCGCTCCAGCTCGGACTCGGGCAGGTCGAGCAGCTGGGCGAAGCGGGGCGTGGCGATGCGCTCGTAGTACTGGGCGATCACGCGGATGTTGTGCTCCACGACGCGGGCCTGGAGGTCCTTGAGCAGCGTCTCAGAGTTCTCGGCGAACGAGGGGAGCTGGGTGAGGGCGCCCTTGTACTCGCCGAGGAGCGTGGGCCAGCGGATGAGCTCGGTGGTGGTGAAGTACTTGAGGAGCTTCTTGTACTGCGGGAGCTCGCCGAGGCGCTTGTCGATGAAGATGCGGTTGAGGAGGTCGTACTGTTCGTTGCCGTAGGGCGCCAGCGCGGCGTTGACGGCGGCGAGGGTGAGGGCCGGCTGCCAGCGGGCCTTGTCGGCGAGCACGACGGGCGTGTCGTAGATGGCCCAGTGCGAGCGGGCGATGTTGAGGTAGTCCTTCTGGTGCGTGTGGAACTTGACCATGAGCAGGTGGTAGCTCACCTTGATCTCCTGGAACTCAGGCTTCGAGAGGGCCTTGTTGGTGACCTTGCGTGAGATGATCTGCGCGCGCACGAAGTCGCCCTTGGCCAGGCAGAGTCGGATCTGCTCAAGGATGAAGTCGAGCTTCTCCCGCGCGTCCATCGTGCCGAAGCTCTCCACCTGCACCTCCTGGAGCAGCTCGGCAGCCTCGTTCACGTTGCCCTCCTCCTCCTTCATCTGCGCCAGCATACGCGTAAGGCGCGCACGCTCGACTTCGACGAAGATCTTGCCCTCGGTGATCGCGCGCAGCGTATCGATGAGATCGAGCTTCGTGGCCTTGTCGGGGAGCGAGGGGAAGGCGTCCATCGTCACCTGCACCGACGTCTGAATTGTGTTCCTGAATTGCTGGCGGCGCTTCGAGATCACGACGAGAACCTCCTTCAATCGGGGCCAATCGCGCGCCTCCAAGCACACCTCGACGATGCAGCGAACGACCTTGGTGGTGGAGGGCTCATCGCCACCCTGGCGAGTCTGCTTCTCGAGGGCGAGCAGTCGATCGACGCCCTCGGCCAGCTGCGTCTTGGCCTGCTCGCGCAGCTCAGGCAATTTGACCTTCACCTCCTCAGAGAAGTCCTGCTCCATCTTCTTCTCGTTGTCATCGGGCTGCTGCGTGTAGATCGTGTTCATATCCATGATGGGAGTGCTGTGTTGGGTGCGTGGGTCCTTCTATGTTCTTCAGAAAAGAGTATCGAGTGAATTGATGCGAGGATCTGCACGAGATCGCTTGTTTGATTTGTCGCTTTGCTCGCTGCCGCAGCGCCAGAGTCTGCAGCCACTTCACACCTCACCCTTCGCTGTGCCCCAATTTGGTCGACAAAGAAATTGCTTTTCCTTCTCTTTTCTTCATAAACACAACTGCTTCCTGCACAAGATGAGCCGCTATGGCGGGGACTCGTGGGCTGCGGGTGCTGCCCACCGCCGGCACAAGGTACTCCTCCCATCGACTCATGTCATATCATCACCCCACCCACCCCAACCAACTCTTGCAAAATGGCATGTTCTGCAGGTGGCGGAGCTGATGGGAGACAAGGCCGAAGGGGAAGTGACGCGGTGCTCCAATGGCCGGTACGCATGCACGGTGTGCGCGCACCAGCCTGTGTTCGACACGCTGCCCATGTTCGCCATCCACCAGCAGGGCCGTAAGCATCAGGTAAGAGTTGCACCCACGCACAACTGCGATGTGGGCTGCATGCTCATACATGCGTGGCCGTAGGCGGTGCTGGCGGCCCGAAGGCGGGCAACCGGTCATCAGGACCACTCGCGCAAGCGGCCCTTTGCTGAGACGCAGCCGTCTCGGCCCCATCGCCCGCTCGCCACTGCGCCCTCACCGTTCTCGGCCGCACCCTCGCCTCCGGCCGAACGACAATCGAGACCACCACAACCGCGCGACACCGGTGCACGCACCAACCACCCACGACGCGCGCATCGCTCGCCGTCCGCAGCAGCAGCTGCTGCGCCCGCGTCGCTGCCACCTGCTCCCGACCCGCACCTCTTCTTCGCCCACCCTTCCGCACAGCCCGACTTCCCGCGTCCCACCTTCCCGCTGACGCCCTACTCAAGCCACCACCCAGCTTCTCGCTTTCCTCAGCCTCTCCAACAGCCCGTACGCACCGTGTCGTGTGTGTCGTGTCATGTCGTGTGTGTTGTGTCATGTCGTGTGTCGTGTCATGTCGTGTGTTGCGGAGATTGCTGACAGTGATCGTTGGCAGAACGTGCACGATGACGAAACTCTGAGGGAGCAGAGCAAGAAACGGCGCATGGAGCAGGAGTACTACGACAAGCTCCGTGAGTTGGGCTGGCGGCGGTACTCAACCCTCACGATATGCGCTTGCCCCCCCTCCCCCCTCCCCTCTCAAGTACCTCACACCCACGGGTCCAGGCGGGCTGACGGCAGCCTCGAAAAGGACCCCGACGTCGAGTGGGACTCAGACGCGGACGAGTCACCACCGCCGCCACCGCCCGGCATCCACATACCACCATCACACTGTCCGGCAGGCGCTCACTCCCCGTGACCCGACGGTCAATTTACCAGCTTCGCGAACACACATCTCACATTCCACTCCAAGAGAATTTTCATTCTTTCCAATCCTGGCCATAGTTTGCAACCAATCGGGAGCTGCTGGGCAACTAAACTCCTGTGGTGCGTGCCATGCTGGTTCGTGGTTGCCCAGTGGCTCACGCGAATCTCCACGACTCCTACAAGACAAAAACACGATCGCTCGCACTCTACCTCGAACTTTTGTCCTGGTCTCGATAGTAACAGTTCATGCCAAACAGTAGCGAATTGCAAGTTGCCCGGTGGTTAGCTGGATTCTCCTGAGCAACGCAATCATAGGACAAACTCTCCTAAGTAACCCGACCAAACCAGCCATGGCACAAACACATTCGGTCATTGTTTGCAAACCCAAACTATGGCGCTGCTGGGCAACTTTGTTGTGCTACGTAGCGACGCTTCTTCGTTGCTTGCGGGCAGGGGTCGCCCTCCCCCTCCCCTTCCTCGTCGCCGTCGTCGGATCCCTGGAGCTGGACGTCACCCTCGCCCTCGGCATCGGCGTCGGCCCTGCCCTCCAGCTCCGCGGCGCCTGAGATCTCGAGCCCTTCGCCCTCGGCTTCGGCTTCGGCGTCGGCCGTGCCGGCCATCTCCGCGGCGCCCGAGACACCGAGTCCTTCACCCTCGGCGTCGGCATCCGCCTCGGCAGTGCCCTCCAAGTCCGAGGAGCCCGAGGCCCCCAGCCCTTCGCCCTCCACTTCGGCCTCACCCTCGGCATCGGCATCGGCCGTGCCGGCCATCTCCGCGGCGCCCGAGACCTCGAGCCCTTCGCCCTCGGCTTCGGCTTCGGCATCGGCCACACCTGACCCCACGACCCCCTCACCTTCGGCTTCTCCGTCGGCGTCGTCGTCGCCATCCACGGTCCCCTGGGCAGAGACCCCGAGCCCTTCACCCTCGGCTTCGGCATCGGCCACGCCGGACCCCGTCACCCCCTCGCCCTCGCCTTCCCCCTCGTCTTCGCCGTCGTCGCTGCCCATTGACGAGACCCCTTCACCTTCACCGTCGCCGTCGTCGGAGCCCGGGAGCTGGACCCCGTCGCCCTCACCCTCGGCATCGGCATCCGCCGCGCCCTCTTACTCCGCGGCGCCCGAGACCCCGAGCCCTTCACCCTCGGCTTCGGCATCGGCCACGCCGACCCCATGACCGCCTCACCTTCGGCTTCTCCGTCGGCTTCTCCGTCGTCGCTGCCCATTGACGAGACCCCTTCTCCCTCGCCGTCGCCGTCGTCGGAGCCCGGGAGCTGGACCCCGTCGCCCTCGCCTTCGACCACGCCCGATTCCGCGACCCCCTCGCCCTCTCCTTCTCCATCGTCTTCTCCGTCGTCGCTGCCCATTGACGAGACCCCGAACCCTTCGCCCTCCGCTTCGGCCTCGCCCTCACCATCGTCGGAGCCCTCTATCTGGAGCCCCTCGCCCTCGCCCTCAGCCACGCCCCTTCCGGCCAACGAGACCACCCCCTCGCCGTCGCCGTCGCAGTCGCCGTCATCAGAGCCCTGGAGCGAGACCCCGTCGCCCTCGCCCTCGGCATCGGCCATGCCCGCCAACTCCACGGCACCTGAAATCCAGAGCCCTTCGCCCTCCGCTTCGGCCTCCCCCTCGCCCAGTCACTCCAACTCCACGAACACTTCGCCTTCCCCGTCGTCGTCTCCCTCGCCGTCATCGGAGCCCTGGAGCTGGACCCCATCGCCCTCGCCCTCGCCCTCGGCATCGGCCCTGCCCGCCAACTCCACGCCCTCCTCTACGCCCTCGCCCGCCCCTGCCTCCCCAACCCCCTCGACCTCGCGCTTGCCCACCCCCTCGCCCTCGCGCTCGCCCACCCCCTCAACCTCGCGCTCGCCCTCCTCCTCTCCCGCCCCCTCGCGTTCCGCCTCCCCCTCTCCCTCGCCCGCCCCGCCGCTCCCCTCCGAGAAGCCTGTCGAGAACGTGAAGGCCAACTTCGACCCGGAAACGCCCAAGGTCACCCTCAAGTCCGATTGTACGCCCCCCCTTGAACGCACTGTTCTTGTTTTTATCGTTTTGACCAATCAACCTGACCAATCACAGCTGGGTCGAGTGAGTCGGTTTCGGCGGGCTTAAGCGGCATCTCGTCGGGCGGCGTGAAGGTGAACAGCACCACCGCACCGGCCGCGGAGGCGCCCACGGCGGACGGCGGCAGCATCGTGACCTACACCACGACCTTTGCCAATGGCGAGACCCTCGACCTGGCCTACGAGTTCCACCCCGAGCCCCGCCCGCAGTCCTTCGCCGGCACCAACTTCACTCTGCCCGCCGGCGCTTCCAAGTGGACCGTGGCCATGGTCGGCTGGCCCTTCGGCGACGACCCGGCCATGACCACCTTCGAGGTGGCCCACACGGTGACGGTCGGCGACGGCCAGGAGGCGATCGCCGACGTGCTGGTCCAGCCGCACACGCCGCAGCCCAACATGACCACCTTCGTGGTGCTCATGGCCGGCCCGGGCGACCTGGCGGTGCGACTCGAGACCTTCGACGTGGTCGAGGTGGACGGCGAGGTGGTCTACATGCCCGAAGTGCGCGCCCAGGCGTCGGCAACGAAGGTGGGCGAGCTCGAACTGACCCTCACCTTCCCGCGCTTCGCCCGCCAGCTCACCTACGACCCCAACGTCTACATGATCACCATCGACACGGAGCGGGACTACTCCTCTGCCTCGGCCGGCCCCTCGGCCGCCTGGACCACTATGCTGTGGTAATAAATTTTTTATCGATCGAAAGTCGATTATATTTATATTTCTTGTATTGTGATTGGTTGTTGGATTAAAAAACTGGACAAATCAGAGCACTTACCGATCACGAGGCCTTCTTGTTGGTGTTGTTGCTCACCTTGGCGAAGCCGGACGTGGAGGAGAAGTACTTCTCGGAGGAGGTGGCCTGGGTCTGGGCCACCCGCAGCTCGAGGCCCTGCACGGGCGTGAAGGCCAGCGACGAGGCCAGGCCCGTGGCCGTGCCCGGCACCGTCGACGCCGTGCCCGAGATGCGCGCCCGCTTGGGCCGGGGCAGCGCGCCCTTCTGCTCGGCCGAGAGGCGCACCTTGCCGGTGCCGCGGCCGATCAGGCCCAGCCCTCGGCCCGTGTTGCCCAGCGTCTCCTCGGCCTCGACGCCAAAGGCCATCCGGTTGGCCTGCTTGCGGAGCTCCGTGACGCCGAACTTCTCCTTCTGCTTCCGCGCACGCTTGCCGCCGCGCTTCTTGCGGGGCTGGTCGTCGGGCGCGGGCAGGGGCTTGGGCGCCTTGGGCGCGGGCGGCTCCTGCCACTTCTCGATCTTGCGCTCGATCTCCTCACGGAAGCGGCGGCCCACCTCGCCGTGCGCGGCCTCGTGGAAGGCGTCGACGCGCGCGCTGAGCGTGCACTTGGTCGCGACGAGCCGCCGCACCTTCATCTGGAGAGAGGAGGGGGCCTGCTGGACGAGCTCGCACTCGTTGATGAGGCCCGCGTGGATGCCGCCGGCAGACAGGCCTGTGCTGGCCTTGCGCTTGTTGCCCAGCAGCTGCACGATGTTGGCCGGCAGCTTGGAGAGCGCGGTGAGGCCGCCGGCGATACCCATGAGCCGGGCGGCGATGGACGAGCCAACGATGGCCGAGATGTTGGGCGCCACGATGTCCATCCGGCCCTCGACGTAGGTGAGAATGCGGATACGGTCCTGCTCGAGCGCCAGCATTTCGTCGCAGGCCTCGATGACCCGGCTCATCTGCTCGTCGTCGATGGGCGTGCCCTCGGTGGTGGACGCCGTCACCGACACGATCATGATGATCGCCGCCGGCAGAATGTCGGTGAGGTCGATCAGCGTGATGTCCGTTTGATTACCTGGTGTGTGTGTGTTTGTGTGTGTGTGTGTGTGTAAGAGACGGTCAGCAAATAGCGTCCGTATGAAGCGGGCCGTGGCCGGGCGCAGTGTACCGATCCTCTTCACGGCGTTGGCGTAGTCCACCGGACTGGTGACGATGGACTCGAGCTCAGGGAACCGCTTGGCGTAGTTGTCCCTGATGAACTTGTGCACGATCGACATCTCCTCGCCCAGCTCCAGCGTCATGTTGGTTGCCTGCCGCACCACACACCCAACCGCATAACCCAATCAGCCCCACACCACTAATTCCTAAATAGAAAATGGATGGACGAGATTTGGGTTACGCACCTCGACGATGAGCTCATACTCGGGGTGGTCCTCGAGGCTGGCACCAGCCGTGGATCCAAGGGAAGAGCCCTCCTGTGCAAATTTCTGAATTCGATCCGTGATGGAACGCAGGCGGGCACTTGATCGCAGCTTCGCCACCTTGTGTACATCGTCGATCTCGAGGGCCTTCTCGACCAGGTCCATGTCACTCTCCTTCTCCTTGCCCTTGCCCTCCACATCTTCGACCTGCTCCTCTCCATTCTCTTCATTCAGATCATCATCATCGCCCAAATCAGCCAAAAATTCGTCTGCAAGCGTCGCCACCGGTCCAGGCTCCATCATCTCTGCACACCTCAAGAATCTTGATCTGCTACGCGAGATGGAACAAAAACAAAAATAAATAAAAAGCCAACAGAAAAGTTGCAGAACAGAAGAAAACTTTTCTTTCTCCCCACGAAGGGGAAAACTGTACAAGTGAGGCCGACGGTGTGCGATCAGTCTTCGTTCTCGCTCTCTTCTTCGTCGTCCTCATCTTCCTCTTCTTCGCTATCTTCCTCTTCATCTTCCCCTTCGTCCTTGCGCTTTTGTTCCGCCTCGTCCTCGTCATTGGCGTTTCTCCTCCTCTTGCTGGGCGGCTCAGTGGCATCAGGCTTCTCCGGCTTGCCCGCATCGTCCGATGACGTACCCACCTCGCCCCTCTGCACACGCATTCACATTCAAGTAGCGAGTGAGATGATGATGAAGCGTTCGTGCATGTGACGAGTAATCGATTCCCACAGCCGAGGGGCGCGGAATGAGCACCTTTCGTGTCCTAGCTGCGAGGGCCGCGTTTTCGCTCTCGTTGGCGTATCGCTGGGTCCACTGCTTGGCGGTCTCCACGAATCGAGCGTGATTGTTGACGAACACTTCGTTCTGCATGCGGGGACCAACACAGTGTTGTAAGGAAAGCAGGAAGGTCCCAACGCCCACCGGTGGAGATGGTGATGATGAGACGATGAAGATGCGCACAATATCAGCCATGAGCGGATCGGTGGGGTTGGGGTGAGACATCAGCACTTGAATGGTACTCAGGACGGTGGATATGTTCAGGGAAGGCGTCCAAGCTCCCTGTCCATCAGGTCCCTTAGGATCAGCACAGGAAGACAGCCAAGGAGATGAGGGGCTGGGCTGCGGTGGCGAACCTTGGGCGGCTGCACGAGCGTGTCGAGGCAGATGCGACCGCTGTCGTCGATGTTGGGGTGGTAGATAGGCGTCATGAACCGCACATTGGGCGGCTGGAAGGGATACCTGAAGGAGAGCGACACGGATGTGCGGCGTGCACACAAAAAGCCACGTCAGCGAATAACGGAGGCGGTGATCACAAGAAGGTGTGGCGGTGGGCTCATATCAAGTGTAGAGCAGTCACTGCCAACCAAAGGTCGGCTCATTACTCGTTGTGTTCTAATCATCACCCAAAATAATAATGTTAAAATCAAAAAAATAAAAATAAAAAAGAGATAGAGGAGAGGTGTTCTTTGTTCACTCATCTATGGTCCCGCCCAGGAGGGGCGGGTTATCTTCACGGTGGGGTATCAACACGTACAGCACCCCAAGGGGGCGCTGCTTTCAAAGCGGCCTTCTGATGTAATCCTCGTGAACAGAATTTGAATAATAAAGGAAACATCAAATACTTCTCACAATCGTACCGTTCTGGGACAGTGATCTCAAGCTTGAACACTCCATTCTCGTAGGGCGTATCGGATGCCCCAATAATGCCTGGTTGGATGTTAGTCCTGGGTTCAGAGCGGGGCGATTTAGCAGGGCAAACGTACAGGCTTCGATTTCTGTAATTTTATTGCCATCTTTAGGCCAGGCGGAGATGCCCGGTGGTGGCTCGCACTCCAGCAGTTGCAATTCCCGCTGCAGCCGCTTGAGCAGAGCCGTGTTTGACATCAGTGCGTTGTGCGAGGCTTGCTCTTGATGAAGAAACAACCTTCCGAAATAGTTCCCCTATTTTTTTCGTTTTCTTTGTTTTTTACAACTATGTTTATGTTGGGTAATTGCGGTAGTATGTACAACACACCATTGTCCTGCCCCGTACCGGGTTCTCCACCCTTCTCTTTCTCTTCTTCTTCTTCTTCACTCCACCTCCTCAGACAAAATACGCACGATGACAAATAATAATAATCAGCAAAAGAGGAGCACTTCCTTCACACTCGTTCTCGTCGGTCCCGCCTCTCTCTGTGTGCCTTACGCTCCGATCGCAGCGTTCCGTGTCTGCATCATCAATCACCCAGAGAACGAAGAAGGGCGGTTGGTTAGTCCTGGATAGAGCGCTGTGCACGGCAAACGGAGCCAACTCGAGGGACACGCGCAACACAAATGATATTGTGTTTGCTAATAGTAGCCTAGCATAAGTACATGCAACGTCCACCACCACCGAGACGTCTTGCTCCCTCCGCTCACCATGCACATTGGTGTGTGACTTAGGAAGGGAGGTGGCCGGTGCTGTCATATACCTTTCCGCCGTTGGCGTGCTTGGCATGCGGGTCGGGAATGCGATGGTAGACCGTCTTTGTCTCGTCCACGCTCAAATCGTCGTCATTGTTCAATTGTTCTGCAGCCATGCAAGCACCGCGTTTGAAACACATCACGCGTTAGCTCGATGATACTTGAACCAATCGGCATACACCGCATCAGCCACAAGTGGATCGTTACCCTCAAGGTCGGGATCTGTTGCCGCTCTGAGGAGATCGTCCTCATACTCTTTCGTGGCGCTCTTCAATGCTCGTCGCGTGATCCACGCCACCACGACGATGGTCATCAACGTTGCCCCCTGCAGCAAGAAGAGATTGTGAGTACTCGCTCCTTCAACGATGAAGGGGAAATATAAGGCCTTCGACGCAAGAGCGCGCACCCCTCCAATGCTCAGGAAAATGATTTGCTGTGTCGAGTCGGTCGAGTCGTCGTTAAAGATGTCCGTCAACTGTCGCATGAGCGACCCCAGGTACGTGTAGGCGATCGTGTATCTGCGAGCACAGGCGGGAGCAGCGAATGATGTCAACGAACCGTTGCGGACGTGATGTGCGTCGTGCCCATGTTGTGTGGTGTGTGGGTGGTGGTGTGGTGGTGGTGTGAGAGAGAGAGAGAGAGAGCGCGCGCGCGCGCGCGCAAGAGGGCACGTACGGGAGAAGGCCGATCGTGGTCGCTATCCAGTACTTGACGAAACTGACCTTCGTCAAGCCGAACAGATAGTTGCTGTCGAGCAAAAGACGAGCCGGTGAGCAAAGAGCAAATCAATCACGTGCGTGATGAGTTTGATGTGAACGCACCACAAGCCAAAGGGGAAAACTGGCGAAAATCGCACAAGGATGATGATCCACATGCCCTGCTTCTCCACTGCCGCATCTACAGCCTTAAATTTGGGTCGCTTCTCGATCTCCTTCTCTGCCCAGCCTCGCGCCACGTATCGGCCGATGAAGAAAGAAATGACTGAGGCAATGTCTGTGCTCGACTGTGAAATCGAGAGTTTAGTCGCTGTCGCTGTTGTTGTTGTTATGCACCGTGATTGGCAATTCTGGAATGAAGAACAAGGAACGAATGAGATGGGTACGTACGACAGAGATGAGAGATCCCCACCAAACGCCAAAGAGGAAGCCAGAAGCGAGGTTGAGAGGAGTAGCAGGAAGGATGAGAACGGTGCACACCGTCTCGACGAAGGTGAGCATCAAGATGCCCTGCCATTTAGGAAGCGATTCGAGCCACTCGAGAAAATCGAGCAGCGCGTCCTCCAACGGCGAGCCGGGAATGAAGAAGAGGAGAAGGAGAGTTGTCGCGCCAAGCGTGATCAGCACTATGATGAGGATCTTAAGAATGCTCCATCCTGAAATGCCTTTGAGATCCATTCATATGCGTGGGTTGTGAGACGATGATGTGGAGGAGCTGATGGGCCGTGATGAGAGGAGGCGGAAGGAGGAAAGAAGCGAAGAAGAGGAGGGCCGAGTACTAGTGCGGCGTGGCGATTGATGGTGGAAAATGAGTGAGCTGTGGGTGGCGCCTTCAGGTGTTCGTTGCGTGTGTGGGGCGTCCAAAATGTCGGCTGATAGGGCAGATAGTCGGGCCGGCGAAAAGCGTGCGAGAGTGCAGTGCCGACACGCAGGCACAGGGACAGACAACCGCCTCTTCGCCACACGGCCAAGGAAACTTCGCGCGAGTTGGGCACACACGCTCGCGGTGCTGTTGTTCCCCGCTCGAGAACGATGAGCTCAAGGTGAGCGACGGCCGCAGTAGGGGCTGGCGATGCAAACCGCAGAAGCAGAACACGAAGAGAGGATGAATGCGGGCGTGCGGGCCACGAGCATAAAGGAGCCGATCCAAAATGCCCGCATCACCAATCGCAACCAGACAGGGGAAAAGGGCCGAGAGACGTCGGCGCCTCTTTAGGCCGCCAACCAGCAAAGGAGCGCTTCTGTTCTTCTTCGTCTTCATTCTCCTTCCCTCAACTTACACGTTTGCAAGAGTTGGGAAAGAGCTGGATGTATTCGCCTTCGAAGGGAGAAATGTGGATGGTTCGTTCGTCTCTTGTCTCTCTACTCGGGCTTTTTCGTCCTGTAGAAGCAGAGGTAGGCAATGTGCCAGTCCGCTCCTCCCTTGCCCACCAGCTGCTTGATGTCGTTGTCCTTGTAGTGCCTCACAACGTCGTCATCGTACTGCAGCCAGTTGTCTGCACACCAGCCATGTGTCAGATCACTGGTCAGCTGCTTGCGAACGAACTACAAAACTGAACTGGAGATCTGACGCGCTGCATACCTTCAGACTGCTTGGTCCACGCAACGTAGTGCCCGCTGTCGGCGTCACGGCCCTTGTGGGTGAGCACGGCGTACAGCTCGTAGAGTCCAGTCTCGTTTTGCAGGGGCTTCTGCTCCCAGAGGGGAGGGAGCGACTTCTCGATGTCCATCGCGCCCTCATCTTCTTCAGCCTTCTTCTCGCCCTCCTTTTCCTACCAAGGATTGAAACCGGACCATCGTTCGAACGTCAGGAGAGGACTTGTAAAAGCAAAGAATGCGAGGGTCCTTAGGGCGATGGTGGAGGTACTTACCTTGCCCTTGATGCCGTGCCGGTTCTGCAGGCGAAGGTCCTCCCTCTCGGTGAGGATGTTTCGGTGCTCCTTGAGGGTCGCCTTCAGGTCCTCGGCGCAGAGATCGAACAGGTCCAGCACCATGGGGAACTCCACAGGCTGAATGGAAGGTATGATACGTGTGGCGTTAGTCTCCGGAAGCATCGGGTGGTAGTGTCGAACAGTGCCAGCGCTCAGACAGACAGGGTACCTTCAGGATCTTGGCCTTGTTGCCTCCATCCGAGTTGCTCTTCCAGAAGAAGCGAACAAACTGAACGTTGAGATAGTAGGGCAGGCGCGTGATTTCGGCCTCCTTCTGGAACACGGCATTTCGTCCCAGCACCTCCGACCTCTTCTCGATCTCTTCCTTGAGGCTCTGTGTGAAGAGGAGCGGGACACCAACGCCACAATAATACGGGTGAGCATCGAGGGGCGGAGACAAGCAAGAAGCAGACAGTGCGCGCACCTCCTTCAGGCCGTTGACAAGGAAGTTGGTTTGGCTAGTGATGTGGCACATCAGCTTCGTGAAGGTGTCCTTCTGCACGAGCTTGTCCTCGGGCGCCTCCTTGCATGTGTAAGTGGACACGATCTCGCCGGAGAACAGCTGATTCACGGCGTTGGTGCGGGCTGGTGACTCTCCGCCGAGCTTGATGGCCGGCAGCTTTTGCGAGAGTGCGCGAACAAGCGTGCTCCAGCACTCTTCCTGCGGTGGCACAAGCAAATCGTCAGAGGGCGGTCATCAGCAAACGATAAAGAAAGTGAGATCAACGTACAGCGTCCTGCTGGGCATAGCCTCTTTCAGTGCGTTGGTTGAACTGAGGGAAAGCTGAGCGGAAGAGATGGACGAAGAGCATGGGCGGCACGGGCTGGTTCGTGTGATCGAGAGTCTTGAAGAGGTCCCGCAGGCTGACTGTGACGTTGTGGTCGGTGTCTTCGGCGACGGCACCGCCGTACGTCTTCACGGCCTCGTCGAGCTCAGGGATGGCCTTGAGGCACTGCAGAGTCGAGTTGAGGTAGCAGGTGTTGCCCAAGTTGGCGAGGCCAGGCGGGTGGTTGAACTCCACCAGCTCGTTGATCTCGCCTTCAGGCAGATCCTCAACGAAGACCACGGGTTTCGGAGGCTCCTTGGGCAGTTCGCCAGCTGTGCCGACAAGCATCACGTTTTGACCCTGCACCGAACACGAGATGAAAGTTGAGAAGGTGTTAAGCTGCACACTCAGATCTGTGTGCAAGGAGCAGAGGTTCGACGGAAGAGCTCTTACGTTGGTGAAGTTGAGCGAAGCCAAGGGAGTGTCATCTTCAAGCTTGCCAGCCTTGAGAGCCTTGACACCCATCCCTGCAGACCCAATTACATTAATCAGCTTGTTGCCAAGCGATCAGGAATCATGAATCAAGTGCACATACACTTCTGGCGATCCGGCGGCACGCCAGTCAGGGCGAAGACCTGACTCTTGAGTGTGAGACCCGTCTCGGATGGGTCCACCTCCACGTCGTTGAATTTCTCTTTTCCCCACTTGATGTTGATCTTCACGCTCATTGTGTTCTATCAGTGCAATCAAAGAATGGGATGCCAGGAAAGAATCGCTGTGGATCAAGATGAGGGCCCTACAAAGAACAGCAACACTGTGCGTGGCCGGCAAGCGCTGTCGACAGATATCCGTCACATTGAAAAAGAAAATCGAAGAAAATTCTGGTTAAGGTGGCGGTTGGCGTAGCACTTTTCTTACTTTATTTTCTTTTCCACCCGTCGCTTTCTTCGCAGCGCGAGCCGTCTGATCCGATCGGCCACTGATCCCTGTCTACTTGGCCCACTTCCGTCCACTGTACACAGCATCGCCATGAGCAAGCAGAGGATCTGCTACTTCTACGATGGTACGTTTGGCTGGTTGGAGTTTGCATTTCATCTTTTCTTGGTGGATACCGTGAAGATGAATGCCATCTCTTGTCGGCGCGTCGAAGTGAGTGTTGGGAGTGTTATTGAGGATGGATTGATTGCACGCACTCACCGGGCCGCGGGGCTGGGCTGCAGGGGATGTGGGCAACTACTACTACGGAAACGGACACCCGATGAAGCCGCACCGCATAAGGATGACCCACAACCTGCTCCTCAACTATGGCCTCTACAAGCAGATGAAGATCTACAGGCCCAGGCACGCCACAAAGCAGGAGATGGCGCAATTCCACGCCGAAGACTACGTCAAATTCCTAAGATTGATCACTCCCGACAACATGAATGAGTACACCAAGCAACTGCAAAGATGTACGTTCCCTTCGCTACCCGTCACTTCTCACCACTTCTTGCCTCCATAGGTGCCCTTTTGTGCTATCTGGCAACACCAACCACTAACGCTCACGCATCATCTCTCGCTCCTAAAACAGTCAACGTGGGCGAAGATTGTCCTGTCTTTGATGGAATGTATCAATTCTGCCAGATCTCTTCTGGTGGTTCAATCGGTGCGTCTCCCGCTTAGCTCACAAGACACTGGTGTAAGTTACGCGGATTGTGTCCAGAAGCGGCAGCTGTGCTCACTTTCCTCCTCTATGCTCGCACACGCTTCAGGTGGCGCTGTGAAGCTCAACCACGGCGAGTCCGATATCGCCATCAACTGGGCTGGCGGCCTTCACCACGCCAAGAAGTCGGAGGCCTCTGGCTTCTGCTACATCAACGACATCGTGCTGGCCATCCTCGAACTGCTCAAGTACCACGCGAGAGTCCTGTACATTGACATTGACATTCATCACGGCGACGGTGTCGAAGAGGCCTTCTACACCACCGACCGCGTGATGACCGTCTCCTTCCACAAGTACGGAGAGTACTTCCCTGGCACAGGCGACATCAGGGTACGCGCAGCTGCCTCATGGTGTGTGTGTGTGTGTGTTAAGCTCGCTAACCCTCGCGCTTCTTCATGCACACGCAGGATATTGGAGCACAGAAGGGCAAGTACTATTCGGTCAACTTCCCGCTGAGGGATGGCATCGACGACGAGAGCTACGAGAACATCTTCAAGCCCATCATCCAGAAGGTGATGGACTGGTACCGGCCGGGAGCGGTCGTGCTCCAGTGCGGCGCGGACTCACTATCGGGCGATCGTCTGGGCTGCTTCAACCTCTCGCTCAAGGGCCACGGCGCGTGCGTCGAATTTGTACAGAGCTTTGGGCTGCCCCTCCTAGTCCTTGGTGGCGGCGGTTACACCATCCGTAACGTCGCTCGTTGCTGGACCTACGAGACTGCCCTCCTCTTGAAGAAGGACATCAATGACGGTACAACACCCCTACTACTCTCCCCATGCATTACACGACACACACACACACACACCAC